CGTCGCTTTCGATTTGTTTCTCGAGTTCGTTCATCCATGAGTCGATGTCGTCGCAGGTCTTACGAATCAGTACTTCGGGTTTAGCGTCAAACAGTCGTTCACCCTTCTCCTTGATGGTTTGATCCAGAACATCGAACTGATCGGCCAGTTCCTCAATCTTGGGCGAGATTGCGGTTGCATATTTCGGCTTCTCCTTGGCGAGTTTCCAGTTGGGATGCTCGACGTTCAGCAACTGTCTGGCGAGTTGATTAACTACAGCTACTCTAGACGCGTTCGAGTTAATCTCTTTTTCAAAGCCATCGTAGCGGTGTATCATGATTTCCACGTCCTCAATGTTCTTTAGTTTTCCTTCAATGGTTACCTTCAGGTCTTCAAATTTCTTAGCGTTGTCTTCCATTTTATCTAGCATTTCGTTCATAACTTTGTTGTTGTCTTTCATTTTGTCATTCATTCTGTTAATGTTTTCATCCATTTTCCTACTGTTTTCTTCCATTTTGTCATTCGTTCTGTCAATTTTTTCGTCCATTTTCCTACTATTGTTTTCCATTTTGTCCATTTTGACGCATATTTCGTCTTTCATCTGCATGAGCAGTGTAATCAAACTGGGGTTCTCCATTGCAAGATCTTCCTTCTTTGATTTACTTCTTGTTTCCATCAAAATTCAACTGGATTCTGGTAAATCCCACTTCTGACACCAAATGTACCGTGGATGACCGGGTATTAAACTCTTTCCTCAGCTTCCAACTTTTATTAACTCGGTATACCTTTAAATACGGAACAGGAACAAACTAACTTCAAAATTACCGTCAACTTCACAAACAATAACAATAACAAACGGGAAATCGGTCTTCCGACTCGCGGGGTTTAACCTCTTCTGCACTCAGGCGTTCAGGCTGTCACTTCACTCCCTCCGTCTGGTTCTCGTCGTCGCTTATATAGTTTCGTCCAGGAAACCCAGACGGTTCTCGAAATCTCCAGCGCAAGTACGAAATTTTCCCGCTTGTACGTATCATATATAACAGTAAATGGGGCTCCCATTTACTAAAATACCATGAATTTTGATCCCTCCATTTCAAACGTGAGTACCCCAGGCCATTTTCGTTACACTATAATTAAAAACTATTTCCAAAGAACCTTTTTTATATAAACCTGAATAGGGTTTCATGACGTGTTTATGCAGTACATATGCATCATCTCCCAGAATAACATTCGGTACAATTTTCTGTTGTCCTGGAAGAACTGCTGGTTCTCGAAATGCCAAATTGTCATCTACCATGTTTTTCCATAACAAACTGTTTTTAAAGACAGCTCCATCTGAGATGCGGCCCTGACAGCCTACATCCGCAAATACAAAATTAGAATTAGCATCTACTCATGCGAATAGTACGATATTAAAAAATTATTTGTAATTGAAGTATTCACTGCCTACTGGAGGCTGTAGAACAACATGTATCAATAACTATGGTTTTTACGCAAAAAAGATGTTTTCACGCAGGCAATGAGGAAAATTCCACTGCTGGTCAAATTCATTCAAAATTTCTAACCAATGCTCAGCAGTAGCGGGCGTCGGTAAGAGATAACTTGAAATAAATTAAATAGCAAATTTTGTAAATAAAACAAATTAAATCCACTTATTAAATTTAAAAATTTATTTTTGTAATAATGTAAATTAAATGGTAACGTTTAATGGAAAATAATTTCCGTACAAACGAAAATATTATTAAATGGTTTATTTTTAGGTTTCAACTGATGTTAACGATTTTGAAGCTGTAAGAGAGCATGAGTCAGAGGTGGACATTTCGCAAATTATAGAATCCAGAACCAACGAAACAGAAATTTTAGAAAAAGACCTAACGTCCAATCAAACCACTAACGAGACATCCACTAGCAAACACAAACTGTTTACATCTCCAAAAAGACGACTAAAGAAAAGGTAGAGTAGGAAGATCCGAGAATATAAGCTGTATATGAAATACGTAAAAATACGTCGATTCCAAAGCATGAATGCTTCAGATTCTGTCAACATATAGCGACGAAACTACAAAAACAAAAATTTGATAGTAGGCTTTGCGCTGTTGTTATGCATCTTATAAACAACACAATTTTTCAAGCTGAGATGGGGAGATTTAATAATTATACTAATTCATATGCTCAAACGGAATCAATAAATTCATCGGTACATGCACCTTCACCATCGTCATATATTCAAAAGCCATCACCTTCAGCATATGTGCATACTCCACAACTTTTGAGATGTTGAGAATATTTAAACAGGATCATGAAATGTGAATAACTGACATTACCGGGTTTCTTTTTGTCTTTCAAAGAAGCTGCTGAAACTAATTCACCAAACAAATTGCGTCTTTTGCGGGAAATCTGAATGGTTTATTTTCAGAAGAAAGTATTAAAATAAACGACGAGTGTTAAATGCTTAAATGTGCTGGGCACATTACTCACTACTTACCAACAACATCCAAAAAGCCAACTTGACTTTTCATCGGATCCGTATTGATTTGACACATGTACCATCCTTTATCTGACGCTTTTACTTCCCGTATGTGCAGAAACCAGGTCTTATGCTCGCTGTGTGTGACGCCTATTCGGTGGTTTTTCGTAATGACGTGATTCTGAATGGTGAGTATTGTTTGCGTGTCCACTCGCAACCAGGCCACCTGAAATCATATTTTGTGATGCATTTGCATTTTTATCAATTAAGCACCTTAACTTTGTCGAAATAAAGTTAGCATGTTGATATAACTAGTCACGATTATGGTGAAATATATATTGTGTTATTTTAGGAGGTATAAAAGCTATTAATGAAATTACGAAGTCCAAGGAATGTAAGAAGTATGTAACTAATAAATCCGGCCCGGTTTAAAACCATAATGCAAAATGACATTTGGTCAACACGGTATTCGGATCGTTTCTTCGTGTTCCTTAAATAATAATAATAATAATAACTGCTTTTTCTATCAGAACTACGTACATCAGAAGTAATAAAATAACTTCAACCAATCTTATCAAGTATTACTTACTCTCCTTAGCTATTCAAAAAACTCTGCCAAACTTGTCCGGTATTAATTTAACAAGTAATTTGCACATATTTTTCTTTAATAATTCTAATAATTGATGTACTCTGTATTATTTTGCAAAAGCTGTTGTACGGTTTAATGCAGAGCCCTGTTTCTAAGCTCTAACTCCCTGTTCTAAATTCTATGTTTGGGAAGCACGTGAATCATGGTTTTGCTGATGTACGGGGTGGTCACTCTTACAATGTACTCCATTGGGATCTCCTAAACGCAACGAGATATACAGTTGATCAAATGACAAAAACCTTGAGCATTTTAATGCTTATTTTAAAGCCATACTGAAATTAAACCTAGATTTCATGGTTTTCAGAATATGCTGAAAAAACTGAAAACATCTACAGGGTGATTCAAAATTGGCGTCATTCTTCTTGAGGTGTTCTCTGGCGCTGTTATAGGAGCGCAGAAAAATAGTAAAAGAAATTAATTGTTATTAAAAACTGAGAAATTTGCAAAAAACTATATCATAAATACGGCAGCAATGTTTTTCCAGGTAATTTGCCTAATTAACATTGCGCAAATACCTGTTGCTTCGTAATTATTTAAAACTCCGGTAACCATGACATTATACAGAGTGACAATAAGATAGACAAGGATAAACGTAAAATTCAACAAGATTTGTTGACGAAATGTCAACCTGTTCTCATAACCTCGAATATTGGTGTTTAAAAATAAACCATACAACACCAAACATTTGAATGGTTAACTCCAAACAAGCTAGTGCCTGCGTAATCTCCTTATTATCCACTCTTATCAAGCAGCTTGTCGTATTCAGTTAATTAACTCGTGCTCCATTTGTATCTCCTTGTGCTGTGTGTATCGTACAAACGCCTTTTCTCGGTATTTACTACGTGCAAGTAAAGATCGACAATGAATATGGGAGTCAGACAGGGGCACCCGATCACCCCTAATCTGTTTCCATTGGCCCTAGAGAACATATTTAAAAAGTTGTCACAGCTGGATAAGGGTATCTCAATTAATGAAAAACACCTTAGCCACCTATAATCTGCCGACGACATTGTGCTGATCGGTAATGATTCTGAAAAATTATCGACTATGAGGAAAGGACCATAACAAACATCCAATGCAGTGGGACTGACAATGATTATCCAAGACTAAAATTATGAGCACAGGAATAACCCGATTAGTCTAAAACGTAAGATCTACAACACATGCCAGTAACAACCGACGGTCTAGTGTCGACAAGTCAATATGTGGATAAGTGCTAACAAGTCGAGGATGGTTGGTATTAGTATTAGCCTCAGATATCGGATCCGAAATAAAGACTTCTGACAAAGAACAAGAGTCATTGATGTAGTGGTACGATCGACAAGGTTGAAATGGCACTGGGCACGTCATTGATCAGAAACTATAATAATTGAACCAAAATGCTCATGACATGGAAGCCGCGTGACTCAAAAAGAAACTTGGAAGACCGCAAGCAAGATGGCGTGATGACATTCAGTGGTAGAAAGTGGATCCTGTTGGCCCAAGACAGGAACCGATCGAAGAGGGCCGTGGATGTCCAGCAGTGGACGGAGACAGACTAAAAAAAAAGAAAGTGGTAATTTGGGAAATTACATCGGTAACTCCTGCCCTGCGTCGTCATTTCTAACTCCGATGCGCAGATTTAAACCCAGATTTACTCTTCTGCGTAACTCGCATGTCTCGATATCGGTTGGGATCTTTATTTCGTGGCCGAAGTATATGCAGGGTGATTTAATATTGGCGTCATTTGACTGGAGGTGTTGTTCGGGGGTGTCCTGGGATTTCAGGCAAAATAGTTGAAAATAATAATTGCCATTCATAACTCAGATTTTGCAAAAACTAGTTTAGAATGATGGCAACAATGTTTTTCAACTTAATATTGGCTTAATTAATATCACGTATCACCTGTTACTTATTAATTATTAAAAGCGGTAGTAACCATGGGTTTAAACAAAACAAATTAAGTGAAAATACAATTAAATATTTTTGGATAGGATTATATATTTAATATACCTAAATCCGTCACAGCTGTCATCAGAAATCTCCTGCGAAAGGTCATGTATCAATGATCAATATCGATCAAATAATATACAATAATTAAGCTGTTAGATCACAACAACGGTTTCAGATTTTGAGCAGTTTCTCGTATTTGGTTAATTAACTCTTGCTCAATTTGTACCGGTGTTCGGCATATCAGATATTTCATCTGTCCTGTGCATCTTACCTGGTAGGAATGTGGTTCTTCGAGGGGGGAGTAATCAGGACTATATATATATATATATATACGGAGCTTGAAAAAAAAACCGGTAATTGTGCAATAAGGCAGAGCATTATGGAAGACTCCTGAAACGATCTGCTGCGATTATTTCCAATGCATGTTCAAGACAACAGACCGTAACTCCTGCGAGACTCACTTTTTTGATCAAATCCAAACCACAATTGACTCATAACCAAGTGACCAACCTATGATAGTGCTTGGGGACTTTAATGCACGAGTTGAAAACGGAAAAGTCTTCGGAATTAAACTCAGGTTCAACGAGAATGTGCTGAATGATAACGGGGAACTAATGATGGACCTATGTACTTACAATGAATTGCGTATCAATAATACGTTTTTCGACCTAAAACCCCATCATAAATTTACATTTGCTAATAGCAGAGGTTATACATAGACAATCGATTCCATTGTGACTAATAGGCAGTTTCAGCCAACTCAAATACTCGAAATCAGAACGCTCAATTCGGCAAATATGGGAAGCGATCATAAACTTTTTCTTGGAAGAATTAAATTTAAAATACAAATACCAAAACAACCAAGCCCGGTAATATCAACACAGAAACTCAATATTGAGCTGCTATAAGACCCTACGATAAAGTACCTATACAAAAATAGATTGCAACCAAAAATCGAAGAAAACCCAGTCAAGAAACAGTGCAAAGCTAAAATAAAAGCCTACCTAAAATATTGTACTGTGAATATAGCAAGTTAGGAACAGAACGAAAGAATTAATGAGAAAAATAAAAAACGATCACTAGGAAATGTTCCCCAAACGCCTGGAAGGTTATTTCTACGAGCTTCAAAAGCAAATATGGCGATTTATAAGATTTCATAGAAAGGAATTGAATACACTGCTAGAACCAACCCACATAAAAAAAAAGAGTGAATCAGATATTTAACCGATCTGTATAAAACGACAAACACGGCAGACGAACCTACCACACCAGAAATAACTATTAACAAAGATGCGGACAACAAGATCAATACATCCGACGTAGAAAACGCACTACCAAAACTAAGAAATATAAAAAGCGCCGGGCAAGACGGCATCCAAAACAAATTACTCAAATACGGTGGGCAAAGACTAACAGAAGAATTAACAACTTTAATACAGAAAATTATATAACAACACAAAATCCCAGATGAATGGCAAACCAGCACTACTGTGCTAATGTTCAAAACAGGGGACAAGAGAAAATTATAGAGGCGTAAACCTTTTAAGCGCTGCTCTAAAACTAACAACTAAAGTAATTACGAACAAAATCAACAATCTTCCAACGTTGGCGGACGAACAATAGGGATTCAGATCAGGAAGTTCTTGTACAGACGCCGTGTGGGTATTAAGACAGATAATAGTCCAGAAGTCGATTGAATACAACAAGCCAGCGTTTACATGTTTTGTTGATCTAACTAGAGCATTTGACCGTGTCCAGCTGAAAGACGTCCTGCATCTTCTTTACAACAGGCAAATCCCACACAATGTCATTAAAATCATAGAAAACATATACAGGGTGATTCCAAATTGGCGTCATTCCTTTTAAGGGGTGATAGAGGCTCCCTTGGGGAGTACCAAAAAAATATTGAAAATTTTTTTTCGAAAATTTCTAGGAGATATTAACAGTTGAAGATCGAATTTCAACTTTGTTATTAAGCATTATTTTGAAAAAATCCCACGTTGGATTGGCAGCCTATTGGAATATTTAAGCATTCAAATAGAAAAATTACGATCTTTGCTTCAAATTACGAAAAATTTTGATCTCAATAAAGTTCTCTTCTACAATTTTTTGATGAAAAGGCACAGCGGCAGTGATGTTTTTTGTCATTAACAGATAGTTATAGGTGGATAGACCTTGTCAATAATAACAATCATTTGTCAAACTGTGACTTACTTTGAATTTCCTTTCACAAATTTGCGGATATGCGATTAGTTCAGGGGAAATGTTACACTAACATAGCAGAAGCTGAAAGAACTCACGCCAACAAAGGGTGAGGAGAGTGGTTCCAGGAAGATAGTGGACGACAATCTATTTTCGGGTTCCAGACACAAAGGAACAAGTATTGAACATAATCGAATCAGGGCCTTGCAGGGGCACTCAGAGCACAATAACTAACACTTTCCTAGATTCCTACCACGTTTGTACGACACGTACAGTACAAGCAGCACACACATGTACAAATGGAGCAGGAGTTAATTAACGGAATACGAGAAGCTGCTTGATAAGAGTGGATAATAAGTACATTACACAGGCACTAGCTTGTTACAGTATACTTGTAGTACGTATACTACTTGTACACAGTATAAGTATTGTATTAGACAAAAGGCACATATTAAAAAGATAGTATATTTACTTAACTAGACAAATACCGGCGATATTGATTACATCAGTAACCACCGAATTTTCACTTGAATATTTGTTATTTTTGGTTTTTGATTACTATTATTGCCTTGGTTAACAATACCTTTTTTCTTATCCATATTATTATAGGTGTTCAGTCTCCTCTTAAATTTTATTTGCTTTGATTTCCATACGGAAATCCCTACTTAAGACATAATTTGTATCGGCTTTTTAGTAAAGCAGTTGGGAATTTTCTATTTCACTTCACGTTTCGCGATAGCGAAAGCATTGAAAGTGGCCCTTGAAAATGACTTTGTGTTCGATCACAGCTTGAATCAAAGTTTTATTTTTCGTTAGGCACAGAATGTGATTGTGATTTCTAAATCGCCGTGAGTAAAACATAGGTAGTAATTTGACGATTAACTCCACTGAAGTTGCCATATTCTATTTTATCTTAAAAATCTGGGTTGAACGATTTCACAATTGGTATTAGATCGAAGTTATTTTGGGTATAGCAACAATAATCTACCGTCGGTTGTTGACATGAATCATAGCTACGGCGAACGGTTATTGTGATTGACGATGAAAGCAACTTCAACTAACTCCCGTTTTCCTCAGTCTTTCACAATACACAAAACCGTTGTGTAGTGCAAGTTTGTGTTGTCTGAATTTGCTAACGCATGTTTTACTAAGATATATCAGATTTGGGCGATACATCAGCTTGGCTGTGTTTGGGTATCTACTTGACTCTAAGAGAAAGGGGTTACTTTGGCTTTCCCATTAAAATCGCGAGAAACTCTTATTTGAAATATCACTGTTATATTCCTGATTGATCTACTTACCTTGAATATTCCCAAACCACCAACTAAGCAAGTTAATATTGCTTCTCTACCAACTGCTGCGGTGACATTTGCAATGGGGGCAGCAAAACTAGGGCTCCCTGCAAGTAAAACGATCTATTTATCAAATATGTTAAATAGATACTTCAATTATACATTTCTTAGTTAAGCTACAAAGTAACTGGTATGAAGCAATAATTTTTGACAAGCATTCGTCAAGCTAATTGCTAAAAAAAGTCTTATCTCATGTCTAGGACTCGATCTGGAATCCCATCTGCTGGTGGAACAGGGAAGAACAACTGTAACTGAGGTATACGTTTTTTATTTATAAAAATGTTAAACTTTGGTAAACTTCGAATATGTTTGTTTATGTAAAAAGTGTTTTTGGAAATACTTTTCAAATGTTAACTTCTGTAATTATTTATTAGATCAATTGCAAAGTTTAAAATTTATCTGTATTGCGATAATAACATGGTTCTCAATTTATTAAATTAAGTTTTCTTTTATTTACTCAAACTAGTCAAGCATGACCAACCATCAGTATTTATTTGTTATCTTAAAATGAGGGTACTTAACTATGTCCATTGACTTTCCAAGTTTTAGCCTCACAGAAGATTGACAATATTTACACGCACACCATGCTCTACCCTTAAAACACTATATCAATTCAAAGGGCGTCGTTCTCTTCAATCTGCGGTACAAATTCTGATCATCTAGCAGCTGGCGGGCTTCTTCCTTCTGATGTAGGTGTAGCCTAGCTAGATGTTTCCTTGCATACCGTTTGATTTCCTGTCCAACAGTCAGGATTCCTGTCTCTGTGAAGAGGTCACCATGTCAACCGGCCTTCTCGTGGCGTGACTGGGCAACTTCTCCTGTAAGTTTGGCGCCCTAACCGACGAGCATGGAGAGTTGGCAAACAGGTTGACACAAAAAAGGAATTCGGTGCGCTGCGGGAGCTTGAGCTGGTCTCGTACGCAGACTCACTGTAAGTCTGGAGTTCCCTGTCCTCTACCTGGGATACGCTTGTGACTCAGTTGGAGATCTTAGCCCTGTGCATGCCCTGGGTACTCTCACTTAAAAACCTAACCGAGAACGACTGATTTCATAGTCGCCAGAGGCGCTACAGACGATAAAGAGCTACAGATTAAATCATGAAATAACCCACTGTAGGAAAATATTCTGTGGATGAATGCGATAACGCAAGTCAAATGTCAAATAAATCTTCCCCATTGTTGTTTATGGGTTTGTCATGGACAAGATGTCGGTCGATGTTGAGTATTCGCTATCATCCAGAGAAAAAGCCTATGCCGATTTTATTCATTCCTGACGATGTAATCTGTGATAAGTTGTATGATTTCGTGCCTCATGCTTCCTGCACATACTGGATTGTGATATGTTTCCCCATGTTCTCCAATACGTAATTTGTGAATATTTTGTTGGGTAAGTCGAAATTACTTAGCTTATTATTCAGGTGGCATTTTCATCAAGAAACAAATAAATGGAAAATAGGATATTTTTCTCATTGGAGCTAGTTCATAGCATCGGGTTGCTCACCGCTGAAACCGGTACTTATTACCTCTGTATTATGTAGAATTACAGATTAATATTTAAACAGAAACCTCTGTTCAAAATGAATAATGATATTTTTGTATTTTCTTTTTCCTTATCTGTTTTCATAAATCGTCAATAATCTGCGAAGATGGTAGCTGTTTATTGGTGTCTTGAAGGCTGTTAGAAAATGCACGGCTTCCTAT